TGCATGAGGTGAAATTGTCAAATAGATATATAACATCTCTCCTTGGATGGACTTTGAGAGAAGGGGCGGTGAAGTCAAATATGTCTTGAGTTGCTCGAAAGCAATCTGACAATCATCTGTCCACTGAAAATCAGTGTTCCGAGCACCTCTCAGTATCTTGAAGAACGACAGATACTTATCCCCAGAACGGGCTAAGTAGGATAAAGCGGCTATACGACCATTCAACCGTTGTACCTCCTTGATGTTTTTTGGAGGTATCATGTCCCTCAGCGCCTTGATTTTTTTTGGCTTTGCTTCAATTCCACGATGGGTAACCATGAATCCCAAAAACTTCTCTAATGTTACTCCGAAAGCACATTTAGTCGGGTTAAGTCGTAAATCGTATTGACGAAGGAGTTGGAAATACTCCTCCAGATGAGAAGTGTGTTGGGATGCTTCCAGGCTTTTTACTAACATGTCATCAACGTAAATCTCCATGTTTTTGAAGACCTTGTTCATGAGTCGTTGATAAGTTGCACCAGCATTTTTTAACACGAATGACATAACCTGATAACATTATAAGCCCTTATCTGTTTGAAAAGAGGTGGCTTCCTCGTCTACTGGATTCATCTTTATTTGATTGTACCCTGAGTACGCATCCATAAAACTGAGCATCTGATATCCAGAAGTGGCATCAACAAGTTGATTTATGCATGGAAGGGGAAAGCTATCCTTCGGACATATTTTATTGAGGTGTGTATGGTCGACACACAATCTACACGAACCTCTAGCTTTTTTCACCATGACGATATTGGCCAGCCATGCAGGATGGTGTACTTCCCGTATGAACTTTGCTTTCGAGAAGCTTGTTAATTTCTTGTTCAATAGCTTGTAAGCGATCTGGGGCAAAATTGCATTTTCTTTGGACCACCGGCTTACATGTTGGATCTATCTTTAAAGAGTGCAAGATTATTTCAGGGTCAACCCCAGGCATGTCGGCTGGGGTGCATGCAAAAATATCCTAGTTTCTTTAGAGATCTACATATTCTGACCTTTGTTCATCGAACAGTAAAGAACCAACTGTTCTCGATGGATGTTTATTAGAGAGTGGGACATGAACCAAATCTTCCACGGGGGAAGCTCTTTGAGATACATCTTTATCTCGGGGATCAAATTTTCAATGCTAAGTGTCACTGATGGGCGTGGCTGAGCCTGCCTGAGGTAGCATGATTGTGATATCTGTTGATCTCCTCGTACAACGTTGATCCCTGTTGGGGTTGAAAATTTGAGCTTCAAGTGTAGCACAGATGTTACGATGTCAAAGATGGATTGTAAAGGTCACCCGAAGATGGCATTGTATGTTGATTCTGACTTGACAACAAAATACTGAACTGAGCGAGTTATTTGTCGAAAAAAATTTTCTATTACAACAGGGAGATTTATTATTCCCTCGACCCGTACTGGTCGATTATCAAAACCATATAATGGCCCAAATGCAGAGTGAAGTTTTGCCCTTGTTAGTCTCAAACTAAGGAAAATGGAGTAGAACAAAACATCAACAGAGCTCCCATTGTCAATCAGGATCTTTTTTACATTGTAGCAGGGTTCGTCAATTCCTGCGCTAATGACAAGAGAATCTTGGTTAGGTACTCGGACTCCTTCTAGATCAAAATCATCAAAAGTGATAGGCTCAAGGCACAATTTCTTATATGTTGGTTCATCAGATGCAGTGATAAGAATTTGATTTGTTAGTAATGAGCCTCCTGCAATTGTTTGAATTTCACCCACGACTGGGTGACCCCCATGTTGTTACCTTTGTGTTGTTGCCCCACAGTAAGAGCATTATCGCCACTAGCTAGTTTGTTTTGTATAAATCGACAAAGATATCCTTGTTGTAAAGAGCTTACATGCCTCGGTGGTGCGTCCACGACTTCGATGAACATGACAGTATTGTTTTGATTTCCTGAGTTACGTTTTAGGGGGTGAGGCCACTTAACAGCTTGTTCATCTTTGATGGTCATCAAGATGTTAGCACGTGACGTGTTAAGTGGTGTATACTCTTTTTTGGGTTAATATTCAGTTCGTTGGCCCGCAGGTTAAAGGAGGTCATGATTCTTTGGTTGTTCAGACTTTCTCCGTTGCAAAGATTGATTATTGTCTCTGGAGTTACCTTTGTGTTTTCCCTCAAATTTCTCAAATTGTTCCTTATGTGCACTGATGACCTCGTCCGCAGTGATTTGGGCCTCAACTCGGTGGATAAGATAGGCATAAGAATGAACTGTCTCCCGGAACTATAAGAATGAACTGTCTCCCGCATCAGTGATGAGTAGAAGGGCCCTGAGCGAAGCCCCCCAAGGAAAACCCCCCTAAGTAACTCTGGATCTACTCCTGAAATTTGACAGACTTCAGCAGAAAACCTGTAGAAAGTCTTTGAGCTACTTTCCTTCACTTTGACGAATTCCTGAGGGATGGAATGAATCTTTGATGATATGAATCTTTGATGATCTGTCGTTGATGATCTGTCGATTTGCTATGAACTGCTCCACAAACAGTCTGGCAAGCTCGTTAAAGGTGTTTACAGTGCTCTCCCGGCAGAGAGTAGAATCAGGTTCGAACTTGTCCCTTAAGAGTGGCTGAAAACACCTGACATAGAACCACGTCAGAGACACGTTGAATGTGCATGATGGTTCGATAATGATCAATATGTTCATAGGGGTCAGTTATCCCTTCATATGTGTTAATATTCGGCAGCTTGAAGCCTGTTGGGATAGGGTGTTGGAGACCGCATTTGTTAAGGGAGAGAATTCAAGAATGTTATGGTGAGTGCGTAAGTGATTTTTTTCTCTAGAGGGAACTCGTCTCAGACGAGGCGACGTAGTTCGTTACGGATGACATCATTTGAAACAGTAACAAGGTGTGGTGGTGTCAGTGGAGTTGTATGAGATGGATGAGTGGAACTTGCAGTGTCTAGGAGTTCAACATCATGACCTGACAAGGGAACTGTTCCTTCTTGAGCAGGGGGGCCGGTACGAGTTCCTTCAGTCGGTATGTTTCTCGTAGGTTGCGGATTTAATGGTAAACGGGTTTCGTTCATCGGAGTGGATAATGGTTGTTGGATCCCTCGTAGGAATTCTATGATCTCCATTTGAGACTCCTCCATTCTATGTATTCGTTCTTCCATAGAAGGACCCGAGACCCCCTCGTTGGTTGGATAAAGTCTTCCAGGGCAGGAAGATGAAGAAACATGTCGCCCTTAACTTCGTGATTGTTCCCTAGAACGATTGGAGTTGGAGCGAGCTATTTCGTTGTCCCGAATATTTTGTCTGGTGGCTATGTAGGAAATTGAGCAAGTACTTCAGTGGTGGCATTGAGAGTTTCCCACAAACGGCGCCAAACTAATGCGTGCTAGAAAATTCGAGGCGGCAGAGTAACGGACTATCGTCTTAGCGTTGTACGAAAGTTCAGCACACACACAGATGAAAATGAAACAAGCGGTAATGACTCCGAAATTTTTTATGTGGAAAACCCGTAAAGGGAAAAAATCACAGGGTCTGGCCCAGTTGCAGAAATCCACTATTGAATTGATGATTACAGAAATTCCTTATCCCACAGACGGAAAAAGGGTAACTATATTTTTAAGATTACAATGTTGCTGACGGCGTCTAGTTGGTGGTGATCGATGATGGTCAGTGATGGTCGATGACGTTTAACAGAGGTCAACGACGGTCGGTGGTCGTCGACGACGGTCGGTGGTCGTCGACGACGGTCGACGGTGCCCGTCGGCGGTCGTATGGTGTTGAGCTGCAGCTTCTCCTCAAGGCCTCAGGCTCTCTCTCTAGACTTCAGCTTCCCCTCATGTGAGAGGTGAGAGTCTATTTATAGTATTATGGGTACAATTAATGCAGAAATATCAACCATTTTGATCGGACTGTCCAGAGAGTTTCCTCTGATCATGTCGTATTTAATGGACATTTGAGTGTCTTAATAATGTAGGAATTGAGTGGTCTTGGTCTCGTTTCATTCTTCTTGTCGAGCCGCTCGATTCGAGTATAAACTTACCAGTGTCGACATCTGTTTGACCTTCCAAATGTGTTCAGAAATCTTCAAATGGTGGTTTAATGACTTGATATGAGCTTTTTTACTCGGATTGGACTAGTTTTCATATCATTAGGTCTGTATCATCGAACCGGTCAATTTAACTATAAGTTTGCTGAAATCGGAATTCTGGAAAACTTTTTATCAAGATTTAAATGTTTCTTGCTTAAAATATCGTCTTAAGATTTGTGTTATGTTTCGAGATTCATATCAGATGATGAAAATTTGTTAGTGGCGTATCAATACTAAATAAGTTTTACGGATAATTGCCCCTTCTAAGAAATAAATAGCAATGTTTGAAAAATGTATAAAAGAGGGTGTTAGATTTGTAAATAGCAATGTTTCGAGTGCCATGCATGTATTGCCCCTTTTTACTATCATTTTAAATAATTAGATAAAGTGGTTTTATTGACACATTTACATAATAGATATGTCCTAATCTTACAAATAAACTTTCCCTTAGAGATAAATTCCTACACCAATGGTTTATTCATCTTGAATGATTAATCACCTCGCTTTTCTTCATTCACCCCCTCAAATTTAGAAAACACATCCTTTGACAAAATTGAGTTATACATGTAGATCATGTGGATCTAGACCATTAAAGGCACGAATCCTGAAGGTGTCCTGATCCGCACACAAATCTATAGTCAGCTGATGTGATTCAGCCAAATTTAAATCCTCTGCAACCAAAACAAAAACCAGCACAATACGTGAAACAGAGAACAGATTGAGCCAATATAACACGGGGCATGGAGCATCTTGACATAAGACGCCAAATTTGAACATCAAGAAAATTTCTACTAGAAATTAAATAGCAAATGTCTCGATTACTTAACCTAAAGTTTTTTTATCATATTTGATATTCTAACTCATAAAAATCTCGTTATAGCAGTTAAGAAAAGCAGATGTACTAGAAGACTGACCTTTGCCACTAACAAATCAGCCAATATACCATTTCCTCCAACTAATTCATGACCAAGGGAAACTGTTTCTCTTGCCTTATTAGAGTTCAATGCCTGAATAATTGAACCAGAGAACAGCTACTTAGCAGCACAAGTTTGCAAAAAACAAAACGTTTAGTTATCTTTCCAGATGCGTGTAACTTGAATAGACGCCAACCAACAAGAAGCATTGCCTGAATGTTGCCAAGCATGCGAACTAGTATTTCCTGATTGATTTGGAGTGCTGCAAGTAGAGTTCCAAACTGTTTCCTTTCCTTCAGATACCTTGTTTGTTTCACGACAGAGATCTTTTAAGGCATGGTGAATGAACTCCAAATTAACCTGACATTTTCATGTTCATTTTGTACCCATGTCAAATAAACCCATTGGTGTGCCGATTGGCTGCCATGCAACAATTACTCGAGAGATAACAAGTACCTGCATTTGAAAACAATCAAGGAAGAAAACTAAGTATATAACATAGCTAGAAATCTTAGCAAAATAGATAATTTCAGCCCGAATGTATCAAAGCAGTGAGGCTTCCACAAATAATATAATGCAAATCAAAACTTTCAACTTCATTCACATAACTTCGCTTAGAACTGCCTAACTGTAAGGAACACGTTAGCCCTAAAATTCTGCAAACAATTTTACTGTTGAAACTGATAAAAGTTATGATAGATTAATTTACTGCATGTTCAATTCATTTTTCAAAAATAAAAAGCAGCCGTTATGCAGCACCTGTAGAAGTTTCTGTACCGTTCCTATAGCTTTTGACTTATCCATATAAATGTAATAGCAATATTTTTTGGGGGCATTACTTTCGAAATGAATCTGTGTGGTTTTGTTTGGCAATGATTCCATGTAGGTTTGCTTGTGTGCCTCTAATGCACTTGATGGATGAAAATTTTCAATGGACTTTTATTTAAATTCAATGACAGCAGATGGTCCCAGGTGCTAACACAGGACAAATCCATGACATTACTGCCCGGCATGACTTTTGGATTTCAAAATCACTTCGTGCTTATCCTTGGGCAATATGTCCCTTTATGTTGTCAAGTGAGATCCGCAGCTCAAATTTATTATTGGAATAACAATAGTTACAATGTTGTCCAAACTAGAAGGAGAAAAACAAAGCCTCCCTATAATTCAAGGAAAAAAATGGCATATGAAGACAATAATACGGGATGAGATCAAAATCAGGAAAATGAAACAAAAAGGTGGCGAGATGGAATCAAAATTATCATTGATTGGTCCACCATGTTGCAATACTGATCCATGATAGGATTCCATCGCCCTAGAGCCTTCCATTTAGGAATTTTATAACACACATGAAGCTTAATGCTCTCACAAACAGCAGAAAATGAAAGAGATGCAACATGAATCATATCATTCCTTTCCCACCAAAATTCTATATAACTTAGCCATGGTTAGCAGCAAATGTAGTCTCTTGAGAATATCATTATCATGAACTTCTGAGCTTGCAACAAAGGCATTCAGAGAATGTGAAGTTTACCTTGGGAGGAAGGCATCAAATAACTTTCATGGAAAACTCAACAGGTAAAGAGAAGATGAGAGTGGTTTTCAGGTAGTTTTGAACAGAGAATACACAAGCCACTAGAACTGATGGAACAAAAATTAACGATGTCAGATGTTTTGAGCCCGTCAATCACCACAATCGAATTATGAAATTTTGAGGGAAAAACCTCTTAAATTATATGAATTTAGCCCATGAAACCAGAGGTTAATCTTTAAAAATTGTATATTCAGCATCAGTGTGAGCTCCAAAAATTTAAAATGCTCCGGACTCATCGAGAGTTTATGTGTTAAAGTTCTAGCTCAAATTTTCAAAAGACAGGTCAAATAGTAGATAAGACACTACTAAGAGATTTCGTACTCATTTTGTGAGGACTTTAAGACCTTTGGTTTGAGATTTCTCATAGGCGGAAGCCTCTACTGTTAATTAACCCTCCTGATATCGAGAGAACACTTTCGATTAAAGATAGTCATTAAGCACCAAGTATTCAGATTTATTATATAGTAATAGTAGATTTAAATTTTAAAATTATGAAATTTATCACCGTAAGCTTAAAACTGATGGTGAGGGAAATGATGACGAACCCGATCAAGATCTCATGGTTCCTTCATCACGGTTTGTCATGGTCCCTGCATAGATAGTTGAACCAACCTGATGGAAGGATCCTTGTCAGCAGTCATGGGTTGTTTCATCCAAGGGAACATTATAGACATGGGTTAAATGTTTGTCTAAAAAGATTAATCTAAGTCGACCTTAGCTTACAAAATGTTTGCGCCTTATTAAATATATCATATGATTCAATATTCAAAATAGCAATTTCTTTTTGGTAAACATACGGGCTATAATCGAGATCGTAATATAATGGCGTTATTTGGCGACAAACCACAGAATCAGAGAGATCTGATCACAAACGCTTCTTTGTGGTATCATTTGACAGCAAAACCACACAGACAGAAGACTCGGTTCACGTCCTTATTAACATAAATTATTTTGAGTTTAAATTTAGTAGTATGATGGATAGGACATTGGCTTGTGAGCTCTAGTCAGTGTTAGAATTGTCGACTCCTACAAACGATTGCGAAGGATGGATGAATTTTACTTTAAGTTTGGAGTAATAAATTTATGTTAAAATTTTTAAATGGTAGAATTTTAAAATCTAATTCTATAAAGAAACCCCTTCGATTGAGATTCGCCATCACACAGTCATTATTGAGGATTTAAATTATTTAAATTAAACGTTGTTGGCTATGTCTCGCTTACAGAGAATCAGATTCATAGTGTATATTACTTTTGAAATAAACTTCGAGATCTTGTTTTGAAAATAAATCTCTCAAGTTGAGGTTCACTATGAACACGATCATTATTGCAAAAACTTATAACTTAAATATTATTAAAAGTAACAGTTTTGTAGGAGGATCGGAATAACATTTTTTTAGCTCAATCTAATCACTCTTCTCATAATTAGAAGGAGGATCAAATTAGCTCAACGGAAACTCAACATTGTCAACTCTGATCCTCATAGAAATGAGCATCAGACTAGACAAAGTTTGGGACTAACAACCTTGCTTATATTCAACTCCAGCCCAAGAAATGAGGATCAGATTGGACAAAGTGTAGTACTTACAACCTTATTTTATAAGCAAGGAGGCCTGCTACATGTGCAGCATTCTCAAACCACGTGTATACATATTTACCAAGTTGATTAAAGCACATGCGAGTGTCTAGTGCTTATAGTATGATTTTTAGTGATTTATATAACCTAAGTGCATGGAGCTTGAGGCATTTGATTGTATTCAAGGTATACTTGACTCGACAATAATAACCCCTTGCACAACTCTTAAAACGTTTAACGTTCTCCAAGATATTGTAATTGAATTGACATTAATAGTCTTCGGAAATGTGCAAACGAGAACGTTCAAGATTTTATTTTAGGGCCCTAAACTTCACATTTTGCCTGCTATTATAAAAGTGGTGTGGATCATCTGGCTATCGTGCAAGATTTCACCTAAAGTCTTCTCGTGAAGCTTTTTCTATTTGCTTGTATAGTTGGGTTGCGGGTTTGGTGATGATTAAAGTGGCAACCGTTGTGAGCGACCTTCAAATAAAATTCCTGCAGCCTGTCATTGTCTTTTTTTGGGGGGGCTACCTCAAGAAGATAGGTCTTACCATGACACAAAAAAATGTGTGTGTGAGTGGTATCATGGGATATCGCAAATGAAATATCATTTTACCCACCGCACCTAACAAGATACACGTAGGCCTTCAATAGCTACAAAGACCAAGAAAAAAATATTCCATGTTGAATTGGAAAAACTCGAAAGGGTACTTAATTTACATTTTTAGAACTTTAGTAGCTTTTTTATTGTTTAATATTATCAATTTGTTCGATCCAGTCAGTCTGAATTTCGACAGCATTTAGGTGGCCTCCCGGCGTCATCCCCACTTGGAGGGCTAGCTCAAAGGATGGGTGACCGCTACTTTCTCTACTGTACACCAAGTGATTTAAGATTTAAATATTATAATTTTTAAGATATATTTTATAAATTTAATAACTTAACCTTTCACGTTAAATCACTTCACACTAGATGTAATGCAAGTGCACGTATCGTTTAAGTAATATAGGACTTTCTTTTAGTCCCGAGTATCAAACCCACAGAGAACAGAAGTAGACAATCACTTTAAGAGAAGTTCTAGTCTACTACTATAAGGTCCTAGTTTGGAGTTTCGATAAAAGTGATTTTAATATCACTACTCCTAAATTACTATTTTAATCTTATGATAAAACTTATCTAGAGCAATTAATAAGATTAAATTCAAGAGTGATAAAAAGTACTTTTCTTTTGTAAATAATTAAGTAGATTATAGGTTAGAAGTTTAAGAATATGAATAAAGTTGTGACAAAAAGAGTCTTTGTCTATCTACCCTCTCCTGGGTTATAGATAAGATTAGTTTACTAATTAGTTATTTGTTTTTGGCAATGATGTTAGCTAGTGCCACATATAGGCTTCCCATAACTGTATGCCCCGCTTGTCACCTAAAAAACTCTACTTTGAACCTCCCAAAATACTAATCTTCCTAACTTTGCACTACCAACAAATTACTATGTTTCATAGTTAAATGATAATGTGAACAATCTCATGTTGCTCTTCCGAGTCCTAATGGATCACAACAAGTTTTAACAAATCTTATGGCCAGTAAGATATGTAAATTAAGTCTAAAAGAACATTCATCACATATAAAACTAAGATTTATTCTTAAACGTCTACACCCTAGACTTTCTATCAAATCATCACAAAAGAAAAGCACAGAGTTTCTACTCACAATGTATGATAAAATCAATAGAAAATTTCATGAAATAAAGTGATTACACTAGATATGTAATTTAGGGATTGCATGTTAATCAAACAAACTCTACTTAGCAAAAGAAATTCAATAAATATGTGGTTACTGGATTACAATGCAATCAAAACATACAATACTTAACATTAATCTCTCTAAAATCCTTCCACTAAAGTTCTCAACTACTCCTTGCATATGTTGATACAATCCCTTACAAAAGCTCTCAAATTCCCTTACAAATCTCTTTAAATTAGTGGAATTCTACTCATAATATGGATTTTCTGAAGTCCTTGGGGAGTTCCCCACCTTGGAACTTTGTCCCCAAGTCCCCAAATGACAGAAAATCACTTTTCCATCATCTTGAACCACTAAATAACTCCAAGAAAATTTTCAAGCAATTCTGGCGCCTAACTGCAGCGCTTAGGCTCCATCTTCTCGGTCAGCTTAGAAAAACAACTGGCACTTAGGCGCCACCTTCTCTGGAAATTCTACGAAGTCCTGCGCCTAAGCACCATTTGCTCTGTTTCACTCCATTTTCGCTTCAGTTTGTTTGAATTCTCTT